ATTCCTGCACACTGGCTACTCAGGACCCTTCCACCCCCACTAAGAGCCCAGCACCACTGGGCAGAGCCATCTTGAAATAGCTGGGAAGACTTGTGGAAAGTGACTTCTTAGCAGCTCCCCGACCCCCTACCGAACCTTCCTGTTTACGTACCTGCTCTTTTCCACCCTGACTGTGGGCAGTCCTCACTCCTCTTCCCCAGCCCCTGCCTTCTAGAAGACCAAGGCCTGAGGATGCAGATGTCCAGGGTCCAGGTCCCAGCCTTCCCTAGAGATGCTCACAGTCTGGCCAAGAGGAGTGGGTAAGCCTGCGACTGGCAAGTGACACATAGCAGTAGTAACAGGGGCTCTCAGAGAACAAGGGCTGTGTGTCAGGCACCTGCGAGGAGTCAGACGCAGAGCTGAGAGTGCTAAAAGAATTTTTAACTTCTAGTTCTTATTTTTGAACACTTAACAAGACAACATTCAAACAAATTTTAAAAGTTAGGATGGATTAATTTACAGTAAAATAATCAACTTAAAATATCAGCCCTTTCATTTAGGGCCAAGGAGGCCAATAGTTCCCATTTAAACGGATTTACAAAATTTATATTTTAACCTATATTTGATGGCATCGAAATATAAAAAGCATACAACTTCCATTGAGACCTTCCCTTCCCTTCAGAGTATAATTCATACAATTGCTCCTTTGTTCAGTTCTCAAACTTTTAAAAAAATCACCAGTTCTATTTTGAAATATATCTACAACTCCACTGATAACAAGAACACTCTTAAAACAATTCTTATAGGACAAACTCTTACTGCTTTCTGTCATTGCCATGAGAAAAGTACTGTTGCAGAGTTTCCCTTTTACCTCTGAGTACATGGGACTCAGGGAGGGCTCAGCACTGGCTGAAAGTCACAGGACCAGAAATGGATGCTCCCGAGATGTGAGCCCAGGCTCAGGCTCCGGAGTCTGTAAGCAATGCAGGTGTTGAAGAAATGCTGTTTTGAGGGTTGTTGCAAGATGCTGTAAGAGCTGTTCACGTGCACAGTTTATGCCCTAATTTGAGTGCTGTGGGGAGTGGGCGGTCATTCACAGGGTTGTCCCATCGTCTGGCCTTGGGAGCCTGGACCAGCAGCCCACACGTCTCTCTCCTCCCCTGCCCAGTCAGCTACCTAAGGGCAGGCAGCGATTGGGGCTTGAGTGGGCGTGTGCATGACTGGTGCTCAGGCTTGGTCATCATCCCAGGAAGGACCTCTTGGAGATAAGGAATGGGTGCTCAGTGGGCCTTTGTGGAGCTCAGCCTCCATTCTTATCTAGGCTGGTCTCCTCCCCGGATATCCTGGACCTGACCCCAGGCTTTCACCCTCTTCTCACAGGGAGCCGGGAGGCTGCCTTCACCTATGCCATCATCGCTGCCGGTGTGGCCCACGCCATCACAGCTGCCTGCACCCAAGGCAACCTAAGTGACTGTGGCTGCGACAAGGAGAAGCAAGGCCAGTACCACCGGGATGAGGGCTGGAAGTGGGGTGGCTGCTCGGCTGACATCCGCTACGGCATCGGCTTTGCCAAGGTCTTCGTGGATGCCCGGGAGATCAAGCAGAACGCCAGGACACTCATGAACCTGCACAACAATGAGGCGGGCCGGAAGGTAGGGCGGGAGACCTGAGACAGCCTGCTCCCAGGCAGCAGGGCTCCAGGAAAAGCCACAGAGTTCCTCCCCTAGCTGGCTCTGCCCTTCCCAGCTGCTGATAGGGCTCAGGGTGTGGCATGAAGCTTGTCAGTTACTAGAGAGGTTGAATAACTGAATCTAGGTGAAAACAAATTTGGGGAATTTGAAGAAATTCCAGCGAGATGGAAAGAGGGAGGCTTGTGAACTCTTGTCCTTGGGTCCACAAAATCAGCTGTGCAAACTCTGATTGGGGGAGAGGTTAAGATGTGTTGAGCAGGAGTCATCCCTTAACAGCAGGGCAGCTAGCATGTCATTGATCACCACAGCTGGAATTTGGCACTCAAAATAAAGGCACCTTTTTGAGTGCCTCCTCAGATGCTCTTGGATTCTGAGCTCAGCTTGGAAGAGAGCTAGGAATGTTCCAGGATATTTCTAGTGGAGGTGGCTGGGACAGAAAGGGGCTGGACACCCATCCCATGAAAAGCTGGCTGTCCTAAGGCAAGGAAGCAGAAGGGCCCAGAGTGCAGAGTGAGGGCCCACGGGGTGACGGGATCATGGAGAAGTAGGTCCTGCTGTGAGGAGCCAAGCCAAAGCCATGAGATATGGAGTGAGTTACCAAGAAAGGAGTGAGCTCTTTATCCCAGGAAGTATTTGGGCAGAGGCAGCTCAAGGTACCCAAGTCAGTGCTCCTGGCTCAGGCTGTGCCCTGGGCTGCAGCCTAAGGCTGGGAGTATGCTCTTACGTGCCTTTGAAGGCTGAGGTGCTCAGAACCCTTCCTGGAACCCCTAGGCCCAGGAGATGCTGGGAGAGGAAAAGCTCAGATGTCAGGTGGAGCTCTGTGGTGAAGTGTCTGTGAGCCAGGGCAGATGGAGAGGGGGACTTAGGGCTACCTGGGTTGGAACAGACCACTGCAGCAATAAGACTTGTGCTGACACCACCTGGGGCCACAAATGCCGGTACCCAGGGTGGCTGGGCAGGAGGAAGAGTGACAAAGACCTAAAAAACCATACACAAGGCTATATTGGACCCAGGAATGCAGACCCCATCCACAGGCCACCACTGTGGTTGTACAGAAAGGCCAGCCCACTGTGGCCAGACCCTGAGTTTAGACTCAGATTTTTATGTACCATCACTTCACTTTTAAGTGTTGGCATTTCAAATTGATTGTCAACAGTAGAAAAGGTAAAAAAGAAAGAGGATTACCAGAGGCTCAAGTATTTAACTGGTTAAGTGTGGGCTATGAACACCCCATTTGGGTGACAGATGTATTAAGTGGCACATATCTTGCTCTGCTGGAGCATGTCTGTGGGCCAGGCAGTCTTATAGCTCTGGATGTATCAGCTCGCCTAATTCTCAAGGCTTCTCTAAGAACAGTAGCATCATTATCCCCATTTTACAAGTGAAGAAATTGAGGCTCAGAGTGGGTAAGTAATGGGCTCAGGGTCCCATCTCTACTAATAAAAGGGTAATATGCTAATTAGGACCTCTTCCAGATGTCTTCTGGACGTCCATCTGCAAGGGCCTTGGGCTGGGGACATGGGCAGGGCCCATGCGGGAGAGGTGGGCCTGTGCCATGGGCTGGTCCAGTGCCGTGGCCCCTTTTGCAGGCCTGGGGCTCAGGCAGCCATGAGCCCCAGCAGCTGTGAGGCCCAGGGTTCAGGCCTCGCAGCTGTGGAGGCTGGCAGTGACAGCAGCAGCAGGGTGATGGGGGCAATGCCTTTCCCTGTTCGGCCAGTTGCCTCCCACAAAGGGAGGCCAGACTGCCACTTAGGTCCAAGGGGAGCAGGCCTAAGCCATCAGTAGGATATCCCCTGAGGGTTCCCAGACTGTGAGAGAGGGCAGACCTGGCTGAGGGACCGCCCCCGCCCCCCCAGTGCATGAATTTTCATGCACTGGGCCTCTAGTAGTTAATAAGCAGTGCCGGAATTCTATCTCTGAGCTGACATTCTTTTTTAAAAATATATTTTTATTGATTTCAGATAAGAAGGGAGAGGGAGAGAGAGATAGAAACATCAATGATAAGAGAGAATCACTGATCGGTTGCCTCTTGCACACCCCACACAAGGGATTGAGCCTGCAGCCCAGGCTTGTGCCCTTGACCGGAATCAAAACTGTGACCCTTCAGTTCCCAGGCCAATGCTCTATCCACTGAGCCAAACCAGCTAGGGCAAAAGCTGACATTCTTTATATAGCATACACTGCTCTGGCATGGTGGTCAGAAGGCTGCCTGTAGGTTGGCACTGGGCTGCCTGGTTTAGATTCCAGCTTTATTATTCCTTCCCTGAAAGGAAGTAGAGCTGGCAGGAGTGTCCTCAGGGCTGAGGTGAGGAGGCAAGGAGACAAGGCAGGAGACCACTTACCCTGGGGCCTGGTAGAGTTTGTCCTCAGCACAGGGCGGTTGTGATTACAAGTTGTGCAAACGCGTAACGCAGGAGGTAGTCTGTCTGGCAGGTGTTGGGGGTCAGGGGGGTAGCCTGCACACCTTAGAGAGGAGCAAGTTTCCCCTCTTGCAGATGAATGGGAGAGGACAAGCTGGCCCTTCCTCCAGCCTTCAGGTGCCCTTCCCTCCCTCCTCTTCTCCAGCCTCTGGCCACATCCTGTGTGTAAGAGCCTCCCAGGAGTCTGGGTGAGTCACACTTGCAGAAACTCACCTGACACGATGCTGTCCTGGGTTAATTGGAAGGCCCTGCCTGGCTGGCAGCTCCTGTGCAGCCAGCACATCCCTCCAGGCTTTTCAGCTATTCATTTCTTCTAGTTTCTGTGGTCAGGTCACTTTTTAGGGCACAGGGCACAGGGCACAGGGCAAAGGGCGTAGGCTTCCTCCTGCCCTTGAAACACTCCCTGGAGGCAGAAAAAGGGAGTGCTTCAAGAGTCTTCCCTCTTCCAGCCTCCATTTCCTTATCCGTGGCTACCTGGTTGAGCCACTGTGAGAATTAAAGAAGAGAATTCTTAGCTTGGGATAAGAAAGGTTCAGTATATCCAGTGGGAAAAGCTTTCACAAGCCACAGAGCTCCACAGCGTGAGGGCTGTGACTGCTGTTCCAGGAAACTCTTGGGTGGTGCAGATGCCAGAATCTGTCAGACATCATAAGATCAACCTCAGTGGCTTCCTGGAGGAGACAAGTGAGGTTTGACTTGGCAGGGAAGAGAAGTGAAGGCAACACAGGTTTGGTGTGGGGAGGCAGTGGTCAAAGGTCCAGAGGTGAGGGCTTAGGGCAAGTTCAGGGGCCTAGACTGGCTGGTCTGTGAGTCACAGCAGCTGGAGAGCCTGTATGGTCACCTGCCAGGCCAGGGAGTGAGAGCCTTGATTTGTCCCCTCAGATCTTTCTGCAGTTGCTGTCAGGTTTCAGCTCAGATGTCCCCCTTCAGACAAGCTTCCTTTTCATTTCCTTCCTAGCCTTTTCTCAGATGTCATCTTGTTCCTTTCTCTCCCACCCCACTCCATACCAGATCATGAGTTTGAAGTGTCTCATTCACAGCTGCACCCCCAAGGCTGGCATCAACAAGCTACTCTCTGTGTAGAGTGAAGAGTTGAGTACCTATGGGCACTGGTGAACCACTGATGGTTCTGGAGCAGGGAAGGGGCAGAACTCATAGACACTGAATCCAAGAAGACAGAGTGAGGCCCTGGGCAGGATCAAGAATGGGGTGCAGAAGAGTGCAGACTGGGCTCTCCCAGAATGATGAGGAAAATAATATGGGGTGGGGGGTGGGGGAGAAGAGGTGCTAGCAGCCTGACTCTGTATCCCTAATGCACATTCCTGTTAGCCTATAGTCTAGTCACTGCCCCTTCCTTAATTATCTGGACTTGCAAGACCTGTTTACCTAAATACTCCCATTTCACAGAGGCCATAAACCATGAACCATACACAACCCCTGGAGGGGGTTATCAGCACTGGTGCCAGGCCAGGCCTTTAGGTATGGTTTCACACCCACCATCCTAACACACGGGGCTTTTTGCAAAGCCTGCAAAAGGTCTGGAAGTCTGATTCATATTTGGGGGACAAAGAAACCAAAGGATATAAAGAGAAAGCTTCCTCCATATTGGCTTTATCAGGATTTGGAAATAGGCTCCCCTGAGTCATGGTACTAGTACATCGGGAAATAAATGTTTTTTTTTCCTGTATCTCTGGGTACTCCTGTGTATTTTTCGGTCACCTGGTTAATTCTGTAACAAGCTCAGGGAAACCAACAGAAGGGCTCTCCCCATGTTGGCCCAGCTCCCCTCTGGCTTATGAGGACCCTTGTGGGTGGCTCCCCAGGATAGCAGTTCAACCTGGCGCTCTGTATTTTCCAGAGCCAAGAAGGGGGATTTGGGACTGCCCAGTGTACATAGGGAAAGGCCTGACCATCCACAGGTCTGGCCCTTTGTGGTGTGGGAGTGCAGACCCAGGGCAGTAGCCACACTGCTCAGCCAGATTCCAGCAGTGGTTTCTTAGCCCAACCCTCTCTGTTACCGGGCACCTGAGCACCCACACACATATCCAAGTGGTCAGGAGCAAGGACAGCCACCTAGCCTAAGGCTTGGTTTATATCAGTTCTGAGTCCCATCCCTACTTGGAGATACAGTTTCCCCATTTGTCAAATGGGACTATGACATTGATTTATTCTGGATCCCAGGTGCTGGTAAGGGCCAGGTGAGGGTACACAGGGGAGGTGCCCCAGGATCCTGCTGTGTGCCATTTATTAGAAGGCATGGGGCCCCAACCCAGAACCTCCCCCACAGTAGGCTTCTGTGGGTCACACACACAGAGGAGAAAAGAGGCAGCCCGCAGCCACTCCTGGCTGAGTGTCTTGGAAAGGCTCACAGATGTGTTTATCACTGGCTCCCTCACTCCTGCTGTCAGCAGACAAGACTCAACCTGACCACAGGCTCTGGTGCTTGTTGGCAGCTGTTTGAGAAAAGGAGGAGGCAGGGAAAGTTAGGGAGGGGGTGCGTGTATCGAGGGGCAGAAGTGGTGGCAGATCCAATGAGGGGAAACTGGGGGCAGCCCACTGACTCACCTGGCAGATGGTGAGAATAAACGCTGTGGGAGCATCCTGCCCTCACAAGTCTCCACTCCTCTGGGCAGAACCAGGTGCTGGTCTGTGGATGGGCCACAGGGCTGGGAGATAGGTACCTCTGTGGGACAACCAGCCTTTCCATTCCCTCATTGTCTCATGCAATTGTGTGGTCTGCAGGGTGGAATCAGAATGACTAGGTGAATGGTAGAAATTATGGTCTTTCGCTATTAGAATTTTAGGGCCATAATATTTTTGGATTGAAATCACAGACTGTTCAAATTGAGAATGTAGAATGTTAGGTTCACATCCTCATATGTGGGGTTTGGAATCATAGGATGTTTGGTTGGGAGGGAGAGAGACATCGGGAGCATTGGGTTGGAATGTTCAGATGGTAGAATCTTTGTGGCTTTGAATGATTTCTTTCCAGTCTTTTGTGCTGTGGGGAGATGAGCAAACCATGATTCTTTCCCTCAAGGTAATTGGTCTAGTGAAAGCGTCAGATAAGAGGAGCAAGAAGTATGATTTAGGGCTCACACCACAGGGGCAATGCCACACAGAATGCTTAAGGGAGCCCAGGGAGGGAGTGGTCTCCCGGAGGACAAGTCTGAAGACCTCTAGAGGAACAAAGGACCATTAGAATGGCTTTGAAGGATAAGTAGGAATCCACCAGGTGGGCAGGATAGGTGGGGAAGAGGAGGGCAGTTCAGACAAAGATAACAACATGTATAAAAGCATGAAGTCCTAAAAGAACATGGTTGGGCTGTGGGGAGTGCAGGGCTCTGTGTGTCATAGTTCCATTCGACAGATGGGGAAACTGAGGCCCCAAGCAGGGATGGAACTCAGAACTGATATACACTAAGCCTTAGTTATCCCAGGTTAGGCAGCTGTCCTTGCTCCTGACCACTTGATTATGTGTCTGGGCCTTTCAGATGCCCTGTAGCAGAAAGTGACCACTTCAGGGCTGGGCTGGGAGACCACCTTCCTGTGATCTGGCTGAGCAGTAGGGCCGTTGCCATGGTTGCCCAGGGCCAGGGGCTGGCGTGCTGTGGATGCCTTGCTGTACACTGAGAACAAAGTGCACAGGGAGCTCTGGAGGCCTCAGGGGAGGGAAGGGTCCTCAACAATCCCTTCCCTGGGGTGTGGTGACTGAATTCAAGAGAGGCAACCATGGGTATGAGGGCCCAGCTGGGAGAGGGCTGGCCCCTGCTGGAATGCGCTGCTTGCTCTCAGGGAGGTGAGCTCAGGGGGATGGAATTTCACCTGAGTGAGGAGTCACCTCCCAGTCCCTGCCCAGCCTCTTGCTCACAGAGGGTGCCGGTTTTGTCCCTTTCTGCCCTGCCCCGTCTGGTCTGGGTGCTCCTGGGAGCTGGATTCCCACCCTGCCCTGGCCAGAGGCAGGCCTGTGAGTCAGGGGACACCAGGGAGCTGGCAAGCCTGCTGAGGTGGGGCCCAGATAAGGTTTGCCCAGCTATGCTCCTCTCCACTGTCCTGAGGGCCACTTGCATATTTGACCAGAAAGAGTTGTCAGTGGTGGTAAGTTGAGGGCTTGGGGAGCCAGTCCCAGCCTTTCTGGAAGCTGGCTGACCAGGTTGGGCTGTGAGGATGCCTCCTCAGGCCCTGTGCCCTCCATTCTTGCCCCAGATCCAGGAACAGATGTATGTGCGTTCTTACCTCCCAGATGGAAAGGCCTCCAGCCAGAACTTAAGGGACTTGGATGTTGAGCAAGCCACATCCATCCTTGGCCTTGATTTATTTTGTGGTGGAAACTTATAGTCTCAGAAGGGTCTTCCAGGTCTGACATGTATGTTGAGTACTTAGGACCAATGGATATCAACCTTGTCTGCGGCCACACACTCGTGGCGTCCACCAAACTATTCCTGCCTCAGGGCCTTTATACATGCTATTTCCTCTGTCAGAAATGCTCTTCCCATGAATCTTTGGATGACAAAGGCCCTCCCTGACTCTCCTCGTCTATGTCCAGTCATCTCCTTTGGTATACCCTGCTTTATTTTCTATGTGACACTTATCACCATAAGAAATTATCTTATTTACACAGCTCTCTATGTGTTTATTGCCTATCTTTTCTCACTACAACATCAGCACCATGAGGGACTATATGAGTTCACAGCTGCATCTCTCTGTACCTAGAACAGTGTCTGGTACATAGTAAGTGCTCAAGAAATATTTGTTGAGTACATGAATGAAATGACAAATGTCTGCTCTTACCTTGAGGAATTTTCTGGGAATACAGTTGCCATATTAAAAACAAACAAATAAACAAACAAAAGTCATCCCAGTTAAATTTGTGTTTGATATAAAGTACTAAACTATTTCCCAGAATGGCTGTGCCATTTTACATTCCCACTAACAAAGTATGAATAATCCAGTTTCTCCACATCCTCACCAGCATTTGGTGTTGTCACTGTTTTTTTGGTTTGCCATTTTGATAAGTGTGTGCAACATCTCACTGTGGCTTTAAGTGGTGTTTCCTGAAGGGCTGATGAAGTTGGCCATCTTCCCATGTGCTTATTTGCCATCTGTGTATCTTCTTCAGAGGAATGTCTGTTAATGACTTATGCCCATTTTCTAATTAGTTTGTTTTATTCTTATTGTTGAGTGTTGAGATGGTAGTCTTTTGTCAGACATATGGTTTGCAAAATTCCCCCCTGCCCCAGTCTGGAGCTTATCTTTTTATCCTCTTCAGGAGGTCTTTTGCAGAACAAAAGTCTTTAACTTTGGTAAGGTCCAATTGATCAAGTTTTCCTCTTATGGATAGTGCTTTTGGTGTTGTCTAAGAACTCTTTGCTCAGCCCTGGTCCCCCAAATTTTCTCCTATACAGTTTTCTAAAAGTTTTATATTTTTATGTTTTATATTTAAGTTCATTATCTGTGTTTTTTTTTTAATTTTTTATTACAAAGGGTATTACATATGTGTCCATTTTTCCCCACTGCCCTAGACAGTGTCTTATGTCCATTGGTTATGCTTATATGCATGCATACAAGTCCTTTGATTGATCTCTTACCCCCCTACCGCCCGCCCCCCAACCCTCCCCGGCCTTCCCGCTGCAGTTTGACAATCTGTTTGAGGCAGCTCTGCCTCTGTATCTATTATTGTTCAAAAGTTTATAAAGGTCTCAATTATCCATGAATGAGTGAGATCATGTGGTATTTTTCCTTCATTGACTGGC